GAAAAAGGGGGGAAGGGGGGAGGAGTGCCTGAACACTGAACAGAGTCACAGATTATAGTTTAGATATACAAGCTCTGAATACATGTAACCTTGCATTGTATTGGATTTTTATACATGATAAAAATAATTAAATCAAATATGTATTTTTTTGTTTGAATATCTTTTTGCCATATTTTCCCCAGTATTTTAGTTTATTTTATTATAAGTGATAAGTGACCCTTTATTTTGCTATTGCCTTTCATGTATACCCTCCAGGAAAAGCAAGCTGTTGGATTTTCCACAGGACTTCAAAAATCTTTCCCAAATGCTTTTACAGCATTATACCCAAAGAAAAAGAATGTGCCAGAAGGCTCTTAGAAGTTAATTTCAACAAAGGCCAAGAGCCTGAGAGGTGACTAGCCTGGCTAACATGAGGTTTACTCTCGTTATCTGACTAAGGAACTATTATTATTGTTATTACTAATGATAGTTTTTCTGCCATAAAAAAATAATCATGCATTGCATGACCTTCATTTTGCAGCCAACATTTATTAAGAGTGTAGTGCTTGTGACAAAATTGACCAAGAATTGTTTGCCTCTTGTTAATTAATACTCTTGACTTTGTGACAGTTTCAGACACAAATATGAACAAAGGTCACACAAAAAGCATAGTTTGGCTAAGGAAGGCCAGTGTAACCAAATACTTAATTTTCCTCTTCAGTCAAATGCAATTGATACAAATGAAATACTTTTGGAAATATCAGGCTGCTTGCAAAAATCAGTTGGAAAAATAATTAGGAGTGTTTTTAACTCTTTTATTGTCATTATGTTGGGTTGGATTGTGGAAATGAGACTGTGTTTCCTAATGAACTGAATAGGCCATTTTACAGTTGTGTACTTAGTTGCCAAGCCTTTGATTCAGAGTGAGGCTGAAGGTGACCTTGTTGTGATAGAGACCTGTATCAACTTAGCATGATAACAAAGTGATTAACATTTGAAAGGCAGCAAGTTTGTATCATAACAAGGTCACCCCTAGCCTCACTCCCGTTCAAAGGCTTGGCAACCAAGCACACAACTGTAAAATGGACTATTGAGGTTTCTAACATGTTTGAAAACCTGACAAGCATTTTTAGCTTTTTTTGCTTAAAATATTACATTTCTTATCCAAAATATATTCTTTAGTCTGTGCAATTAATTAATTTTGTGCATTTACAAAAGGTCCTTTTTGACAGAAGAACAAGAAATGTCCAGAGATGTTTTATTTGTTCTTTAACGGCACATCTAAAAATGTTTTTGTGGTTACCAAAGTAGTATATTTTTATGTGTACTTTCCTACACTTGAAATTCTCAAGTTTCAAAATAAAACAAAAACAACAACACAAAAACATTGTAGTGGAGGTAAAAATAAGTTAAAATGAGGAATTGGCTAGCAATGATGGCTTTAAAGAATTGAAGAGACTAGTAATTCTATTGTAGAGCAGTTTTTAATTGAGCATCAAAAAAAAAAACCAAAGTAATTCCAGTGACCAATTATCAAAGCAAAGGGTTACTCATCATTAGCCAATGAAAACTGCAAGTGAAAAACAAGAAAACTGCTTGAATGTCCTTTTTAAAGAGAATAGTAATTACAGATAAGTAGGTTTGCTGCCATTTTGTGACACTTTCTTGCAAACAAAATCTCCGTAAATACCACACTTTCAGAACTGGGTTAGTTATGTGTTAATGATTATGATATGAGTTCTTTTCTATTTATTTTTTTTTTTCTTTCATGAAAAGGGACTATAACAGTAAATTTTTTGGGTGTTGAAAAAACCAGACCTTCAGTCATTTTCTCTATTTGTTAGTGAGACAATTATTCCCTCAGAAGAGTCTTGTTAGAAATTTTGGGATGCTTGTTTCATTACATTTATTTTCAATAGCAGTTCTAACCAACATTCAAAGAGAAGACTGTCTTTTTAAAGTGCTGTTAGATGTGTCAAGTCCCTTTTCATGGCAGATAGTCACATCCGGTCATGTTGAGAAATGATGTGATGATCGCCTGTGGATGCGCAAAGTCCTGTTATTTATACATCCATTTCGTTATTGGCTTGTGTCAAACACATGACCAAAATAAGGAAATCAGTAATGTTATTTGTTAGACAATAATTGCTATTACTGCTGGTGTTTGGAAAGGATGCAATTACTGGAAAGGGTGTTATTGTTGGAAGTCAGCTTTATAGTACTTCAAAACTTTTATCAGATCAAGATAGTAACTTTAGTCATAACAATTAATCTTGGTTGTGATGGAAAAAGAAGCTGGTGTATCAGACACTTTTTGGGGTGGCTTACAAGAAACTATCAAAAGATTCACTCAACTATTTCTTGGCAGAATGTTGCTGTACTTTTCATCTTCTATGAAGTACAAATTGATTCTGAATTTCAATGAATGTTTGAAACATTTGAACTCACTGTTAAGAGTTATTAGAGTAAATGAAACTACATATCAGGGAAAGAATTATGTATTTGCTATTTTCGGATTTCTTTAATACTATTTTTGTGTTGTTTATGAATATAAAGTTCTCGTCTGGGCATAGACATGTTGACAAAGAAACATCTTTAGGAAGGCTAGTTTTAAACTGAACATCTCAATTCTTCTTGGCTAATAATTTAATCTTATGTAAATATCAGCAATGAGAGTTTCTCATTACTGATATTTATTGTGCTACCTGAAATCATGGTTAGCTCAATTGGTTAGAGTGCCAGACTATTGTGCGTGAGGTCAAGGGTTAGAGCCCCGGCCGGACCAACACTCAAGGTCTTTACATAACTGAGGAGAATTTGCTACCTTTCTATAATATCAAGAAATGGATAGACATTCTGGTCTTCTCAGATAAGGACAAATAAACCGTATGTCCCGTCTTCTGCATCTGATAATTAATTAATTTGGTTAGGCAGGGGATGTTATAGAACCCACTGACGAGATTACTGTGATGTGGTCTGGCCTGTTTACTGGGAATTGGGGTTAGGTGTCAATTGGGACAAAAGTTCTGTTTCTTTCTCCTGCCATTCCCATGGCAAATAAATTAAATTAAAATTAGAAAATTAATTAAATTAATTAAGAATAAATCAGTGATTACCATTAATAACTTATTTCAATAATAAACTGATATTATTACTCAATTATGTATACTTGCTTCAAGAAGAAAAGAGATGTCAATCAAACCTAGGAAAAAACTTATCATGAAATAAAATAATTAAGTAAGGGACTTCATCCTCTGTATGTAGGTAGGTAAGTACCAGAAGGTAAATAAGTAACTGGCTGAAGGAAATTAAGAATAGCTTTTCCTTGGTTTCCATTTATTTAAATCCTTGGGAACGGTAGTATTTATAGTCCCAAAGGCAATGATTTAATTTGTATTTTTATGTGTTTTTTCTGTGTCCCAGATAGCTGCTTTTATGAGGCTCATTCCCCATTCACACCAAAGCTGAAACATGTTTGAAAGCTGTTTTTACATAAATGGTTTGAAATTGTTTTCTTGATAGAAGCCTAGCTTTAAAACATCAATTTGAGAAAAAAAAAAAAACTGATGACTCCAAAATCAGCAGTTCAAAGTTAGTGGTAAGACAAGCTCTTTCAGTTTTCTTGCACTGATTTTTATTGGTGTGAATGGGGCATAAGGCAATGATTACATGTTTACATATATGTTTGTTAATGTACTTAATGATTTAATGTTCACATGCAAATGGCGTTAAATACTGGTATTTCTTTATGCATTTGCAAAAAGTATGGGTTCTGGCAAATGTCTTTGAAAACATTATTTTTAGATTGTTTTTGTATAGATGGACAACAAAAGGCACAAAAAATATACATTTATGAACATATACTAATATGCATGGCCATGGGCCTGTTTATCAATGTGATGAGGTTTATCTATATATTTATATTTCAGTATTCATAGTTTGGGAAGTTTTGCAGACATTATTGCAATCATAGAGAGAGGACAGAGGCACTTTATCAAGGGTTACTGGTAGTTAAAGGAGTCTAACAAAATGCCTTACACTTTTGTATTTCTGATATGGAAAGGGTTGGGAATCTTTTTTCTTTAGAAATGATTGAAATTTCTTCAATTAAACTGTTTAAGGAATGTTCAATGAAGGTTTGTCTGTAATCGACAGAATTAAGCTGTCATATCTCCTTTGTAATTTTTTTTCCTTGTAAGCTGTTTTCCTACAGAATTGTAAAGGAGCATGACTCTTGGGAGGGATGTATCACTAAGCTGTCATGGTTACTTTGTGTTGGTGACAACAGCTTTGACAGTTTGTAAACTAAGGGGTTTTGTTACTCACATAAGTAACTGTTTTTGTTAACTAGGAACAAAAATTAATTGATTTTGTGGTGGTACAGCCAAGCTAGAGGTACAAGGTTTCATTACATACCGCAGTGTTTGATTCAGTATGCTTTATTCATTTTGATTGAAGTTTAATTTGTTTGCGTTCTCTACCAACAAAAACATAATTATATAGACATTAATAATTCTGAGCCTTTTTCAGTTTTCATTAAATAAGTATTTTCATGTTTGGTCAACCTTTCTGAAATTTAACTTGATAATAAAAAGTATGTGGAAATAAAAATCAGTTATTAGAAAAGACAAACAATAAAACATTGTTTACTTGTAGAACAGAATTTTGTCAGATCCATCTTTTTCACCAGGGTATGTGTCATGATACTTGTTATTAATATGATCATGGTTTCCACCCTATAGCTGCATCTAATAAGCCTACAAGATTCTTAATTCATTCATTTTCTGTTGCTAAGTTAATAAGTTGCAGCAAATCTCTGCTGTAGATACCCCATGGATGTGATTGGAGGATGTTTCTTTGATCCATCAAGACATTCAATCATGACTTCATTATCAGGGTGAACAAAGAAGGCTAATGATTGACGTACAGTTCTTTGCTTCACCTCTTCTTCTGGTATGAGTACTCTATGTTTCTGGAAACCATTAATGAGACAATTAATTGACAAATGTCACTTTACTGGTATTTCAATTGATGGTAATCACAGCTTGCAATGGCATAATTCTTCACTGACTACCACCAACTGAAATAGTTTGAAAAAGAGAAGCAGGTAAAAGAAATTAAACAAAACAAAATTATCCACCATTCTGAGCACACAACCAGCTAGCTTTACTTTTCCTACCAAACTTCATCTTACCTGTTTTGTGGTTCTTGAAACTTATTTTTTAAATTAGAAAGTGTGTTTCTTCTTACCGTGGAGATCAATTTGTCAGCTGTCCATCGTTGCATTAGATCTCCAATATTAACCAGCACTGTTTTAGGAATAGGTGTGGCAGGAGTGTATTCTCCATCCACTGGAAGTACCTGATGTGGCAAATTATGGAACAGTAGGGTCAGTTTTTTCTGGGTATGTGTTGCTGCCCTGTTAGAACTCCTACCCCTTAATACTCAATTTCCGTGGCAAATCATAGACCCTATCTTAGTCACTTTCACTTTTGAGCAAATATAATTTTAGCAATCCCAAATCTTCCCATTCTTAAATCCCTACTAAGCAGAATTACCCCTCCCCCCCACCTCAACTCATACCTCTAATCCACCAATCTCATCTTGAAAAAGCAGTGTTATTGAGCCATAGTCACTATGCTCCCCACACCGCACCTGTCTGGGCTTTATACTACATTTGTCAGGGAGGGGTGGGTAGTGCAATAGCCGTAAGGCAGTTGCATTACCCAAAGTACCTATGGCACCATGTACTTGCGACAGCCAGCTTGGCTCCTTAAAAAAGAAAGAATAATACAAGTATGAAAAGAAGTAACCCAGCTAAACACAGGATTTCATTCACAAAATGCAACATGGACAAATAAATTTGATCAAAAGAGCTGACAAACAAGTAAATGAATATTAACCATAAAAATTAATCAAATGAAGCCTTAAACTGCTGGATAAAGTAAATTGTTTCACAAATCCGAGCTTTCGCTGATCAACGGCATCATTAGGGATAAGTATATATATATATATATATTGCCCACCCGGAATATTTTCTTATCCCTGATGATACTGTTGATCGGCGAAAGCTCAGATTTGTGAAACATTTTACTTTATACAGCAGTGTGAGGCTTCATTCGATTAATTTGTATATATTTCAACAATGCTGCTAAAGAACAACATGAACAGATTATTAACCAGATGAATAAGTAATGGGGAATAATAAACTATGCATCTAAAAAGTATAGTAATAATTTGGATATATCAACAAAGTTGAAATAGTAAATTGGGGTTCTGTCCTCGTGTACCGGTTCACAAGAGCCAATACAAAAGACCAAACAATACACAATAGTTAACCGAGAACTCCTAAACAAAGAAAGAACAATGGTAATTCCCTTGTGAACCCGTACACCAGGACAGAACCTAAATTGGCCACCGTAACGATTACAAAAGCTGACATTTCGAGCGTTAGCCCTTTGTCGGAGCAAATAGAGGAATTGTGGGTTGTGTGTGCTTTTAAAGGTAGAAAATGGAGCTACGTTATTGGTGGGAACATGGCAACGTGAAAAACTAGAATAAATTAGTATAGTACTCTTAAAATTTGAAGGTGTGACTTGTCTACTAGTGTAGCTTATACCGACAAGGTTTTACAACATTATAAATACAAACTTGTAAGTTGAGTCCAATGCCAATAACATCCAGAATTCTGAATGCTAGATCTTTGCATTTGTTGAAAAATGAAGTAACCACAGGCTTAAATTCTGGTACTTCTTGATCTGGCCATCTCTAAAAATAAACAANAAGTGTATCAAATTATCTGATTTCAATGTGTAGAGCTCTCAAGTGTATCAAATTATCTGATTTCAATGTGTAGAGCTCTCAAGTGAATCAAATTATCTGATTTCAATGTGTAGAGCTCTCAAATGTATCAAATTATCTGATTTCACTGTGTAGAGCTCTCAAATGTATCAAATTATCTGATTTCACTGTGTAGAGCTCTCAAGTGTATCAAATTATCTGATTTCACTGTGTAGAGCTCTCAAATGTATCAAATTATCTGATTTCACTGTGTAGAGCTCTCTTGAAAGCTGATTTGCTGGCAAAGAGTGATATACCACAGGCATCACCTATCTAGAGTGAGAGGAGGTCTGGGGGCAGGTCCCCCCAGAAAATTGTGAAGAATTGAGTAACGATGAGGGATACTTTCCTTTATTCTGAGTAAGAATTTCTAATGTTAAAAAGTCATTCATCATAATGTTTTGTCAAAAAAGCAGCCAGTTTAAATAATCAAAAAGAGCAAATAATACAATCACGATAATAGGTCATTTTACAGTTGTGTACTTAGTTGCCAAGCCTTTGAATCAGAGTGAGGCTAAAGATGACCTTGTTGTGATAGAGACCTGTATCTAGTTAGCATGATAACAAAGTGATTTACATTTGAAAGGCAGTAAGGTTTGTATCATAACAAGGTCATCTCTAGCCTCACTCCCGTTCAAAGGCTTGGCAACCAAGCACAGAACTGTAAAATGGACTATTGGAAGTACTGATACATTCTCCAGTCAGTAATCTACTGCTAACCAGTGTTTCATCATGAAGTTCACAAACATTAAATGCTTCCTTTAAGTCACCAGGTCGAGAAGGATTCAAACTGTTAGAAAAAAATGATTTTTGGTTTACATCAAAAACACAGGGAATTAACCACTGAACTAAATAATTAATGGTTGTTAGGATAACTTAATGAGTAGTTTCTTAGAAATGAACTTTGAAATAAAAGCTAGCGCTAAGAAGTCATGACGTTTCGACCTCTCTGAGGTCATTTTCAAGTGAGTAAGTTTTCCAAATCAGCATAAATATGTTGAAGCAACATATTTATGCTGATTTGGAAAACTTACTCACTTGAAAATGACCTCAGAGAGGTCTAAACGTCGTGACTTCTTAGCGCTCACTTTTATTTCTAAGGATAACTTGTTTTTAATTTAAAAAAGGGTCAAATTTCACCATCTGTTTGTATTCAACTTGGCTGATATAATATCTGAATTATAGCGACCTATAAATGGTGGCTTGATATAAAAATCATGCATTAATCAATCGCATGAGAGACATTGACAGACCCCTCCTAACTAAGCGAAAAAACCCATTAGACACTGCCACACCCTTATCACTTATTTTAACCTACAAATCAGCCTGGGAGAGGTGGGGTCTATAAACTTAGGTAAATTTTTTCTGGGCATGTGCTGCTGGCCTCTCAGAACCCGAATTCATCCATGTTTGAGAACTGATAAGAGCATTGTATGACACACTGGCACCAGCAGCATTATCTGTACTCTTATCAACAATGGCAAATTGACCAATCAGATTGAGACATTACTGCCAATTTCAGTAAAAAATGAATTGACACATTGGTTAAACTTTGTAGAACATTATTTTTTTATCCCAAAAACCTGAAAATGCATGACTTCATTCTTCAATTTTGAAATTGCACCTCCATTACAGTCATTCTAGTCATGAAAATGCCACCTCATCCAATGGCACATCCACATCTGCAAATTACTAAGAAGTACTCCACCCCCCCCCCCTTCCCTGGGTAAAACTTTGCTATTGAATTTATTCAAATCACCGTTTCTTATTTTGATTACCTTTCCCTCTCTAGTGAAACCCAGCCAAAGTTTTTACCATCTGTAGGTCTGATAAAATGCTTTTTCACTTCAGTTGAGAGATTGAAAAATCCATCTCCTGCCTGGCGAACTTCTGCAATCTAACAGAACAGAAATTCGAAAAGATCGGATCAAAACAAAACATGTTGTTAAATTTAATAATTCGGATAATAACGTAGTGCGATGTTAAGTAATTTGTTCATTAAGTTATTCAACTTGCACCTGTACAAACTAATAACATATGAAACCTGGGATACTTCACTTTCAAATAACTGATGGTTTATTTTTCTGTACACAGCACAATTTTTTTTGAAAAGGCATGCAACAATTATGTGATTATATACCTACCTCCTTCTCAGATATTCCATGATTTGTTAAATACACAAAGCCAATTGTACTAAACGCTATGTGAATTTGATCTGCAAGTATCCTCACGGATTCTTCGTCGAGTGATGGAGGCTTATCGAGATCTAAACCCATTACTCCAAAGTCAACAACTGGGATCGTTCTCTCCACCATCTTTAATCAATTCATGAAGAGTTAGCTGGGTGTAGCCTGGGCACATGAAAGCGCTAAATCGAAGAACCGTGTTTCCGATTGCGGTCTCTCGACTGCCCTGAGTATCAACGTCCGATTTTGTTTTAAAGATTTCACCAGAGAAACATAGGCCAAACTAAAGACCTTGTTGTATTCCTACTCCCAAAAAGGTTTTTCTGCTGGCTTCCGTAATGTGGACAGCAGACAGTGGAAAGCAAGCTTCGCACTAACGACTTTGAACTCAGTCAATAAGTACACAGTCCTACACTTTATTGGTAGAAAATAAGACATGACCGACTCGTGCTTCCACATCTGCATGATTTGTTTTATTTTTTTGTTTAAATCTGTTCCTGTTGTCTAAAATCATCACTTTGGCTTTTTTTTTTATTTTTTTTTTATAAGGATGCCAATGTAAACAAATGACCCATCTACAAACCTAAAAATCCACTGACGCACTTATGGCTAATTTTAACTGACATAGGTTTCTTGAAATCAGTTACTCACATGTGTGAATAACTGGCTTATCGGTGAAATAATTAGGCCACAGACCGATGCACTAAGGGACATTAGTACTTAAGTACATTTCTACATTAGCACATTAGTATCTGTTCTTACTGCAGGTTCACACGAGTGTCTCAAATGCGGAAGTAAATGCCCCTACCTCAAAAAAAAAAAAAATTTAAAAAAATAAAATCATTTAAAACCACCGATAAAAAATGGTAAAAGGTGTCGAGAGCTAGTCCATGCTTTGGAAAATTCAAGAAATTAATAAAAAAAATGATAAACAACAACAACAAAAAGAAGAAACAAAACTTGAATAGTAATGACTATGCTAAAGAACTGAGGCTAAAACTGGGTATATATTAAATAGTATCACATCGACTTCGTTCGTCACCTTGGGATACCGAGGTTCGTGCGTACATCTCAGTATTTTGCTTTTCAGAAAAAAGCGGTGAAGGAAAAAGTTGTGCCGGAAAAAACAGTGCCAGAAAAAGTCGTACCAAGAAAAGTCGAGCCGGTAAAAATCATCTCAGAAAAAGTCGTGCCGTAAACTGTCATGTCAAAAATAGTCGTCCCGTAAAAGTTCGTGCCAGAAAAAAAATCGTGAAAGAAAATTGCTTAGGGTTACGTAAAGAGAAGGTGAGGTAGTGAAAGTTAAAGTTGTAGATGAATATTAAATGGCACTAACTGGGCTCCGTAGTTATGTGACCCTTATGGAGCCTCGTTTTTCTGCTGGGATTCACTGCCGGCGCGGCTGGGCCACAAATCCGAGCCGTAAACTGACGAATTTATATGACTTACATTATCATATAAGGGGCAAAATTACTGAATTGTGAATGGTCAAGACAGAGGGCATTTTTTCCTAATTTTTTTAATTGCACCGGGCAAAATTACTTGAAAATGATTGGCTAAAAATCGCTTAGCAACAGCTGCCAAGTTAAAGTTATTTCTTTGTTTTGTAACAGTGGCGTCCCTTTATTTCTGAGAATGATAATACAATATTAACATACAAGTGTCACTAATTCGTCTTCCACTCAATCTCATTGTTACATGCACTCCAACTGACCAACTGAGGTAAGTACTTGGTGTAATCCTCAATGTATGTTAATGAATGCAAATGACCATGTATTCTCATATGTTCTTCTGTATTGATGCATGTATGAAGGATTACACCAAGTACCTACCCCAACTGATCCGACTGACCGCTGATCATTACCGGCCTGTTATTTTATCTTTCCAACCATAATGCACGTTGGCGAACCTCTATGTTTTCTTAAAATAAAACCACCGACAGACCCAAAAAACGTTCGTTGGTGAGACTACCAGCATTCCCTGCTTTTTGGTGACGTTCGTCACACGAGAACAAAAAATCAGAAAGTGAAAAATTTGGGAATGTTTGGAGAGCGAGAGAGCGTGCTGTGTGACGAGACTAAAAAAAAGCTGCGAAGGAGACTATTTTTACCGCTGCAGCACAAGTTTTGACAAAAATTAATGATATTGTTCTATCAATTACCACTTTTCAAGGAAAAAAAAATCGAGTTTCCCTCCTAAAGATTAATTCCAATATGATTTAACTTTAATTTTATAGCACCATCATTGTAAAAAGTAGTTAAGTATGAAGTTTGAGTAAGTTTGCAAATGTCAGATACGTTCTCTCTTCACTAAGGTGAATCCTTTAAGTTCCTTACAAAGTCTATACTAACCTTACAAAAATACACTCACTTGCATCTTTGAATATCCGTTTACGAACATACAAAAACGCACCTAAAAGGTTACCCAACGTATTCACCCATTACTACCATTAATCGTATCCACTTTTTTAGTGTATTTTTATTTATTTATTTATTTTTTTATTTGCGCGAAGGACTTGGCCAAAAAGGGAGGAACTGCTGGTAGTGCACTGTTCACGTTCTTCCAAGAACCACATCGAACCCACAAGTATACAACGCTCAGTTTTGTTTGGTTTTATTTCCTGTGAACTCTTCAGACAATTAAAGACATTCATTCCATCTTGCACTCTTTTAGGTAGGGCATGCTTGTAGTGTCACAATTAATTTAAAAGAAAACTTCTATTATAATCTCTGCAGGAAGAACGTTGAGTTTTATAATCATATGTGATGCAAATAGTTATTTGGCGGGAATCAACGATCAACGCTCCTTTAATTATTAAAAGATGAACAAACTTTGTGTTTTTTCTACCCACGAACATACAATATCTTCCACTAAAATGTTCTTAAAAATATCTACAAGTATAAAAATGATACAAGGCGAGAAGAATTTAGGCTAGTGTTGGACTAAGCAGTGAGTCCGGTGTACCTTATTTACATGTGTAGATGTTTACAATCTCTCGACACTTTTGACATTTTACTTGACAGCACCATAGAAATACACAGTTACAATTTCTGACAACCTTGTCCTGTTGTATATTGTGACCGCGCCCGCAGCACAAAAGCTCGCACCCATCGATTCCTTGTGACGAAATATTGCACGCTCTTCCCGAGGTTCCTAGGGTTCCCTCGTTGACGTCTGCGTCACAGTAATTTGGCGACGATTGGTAATATATCAAATCGGAGTCCGAGGGTTTCTTCAAGCGAGTGTTCTTAGGCTTTAAACGTTCTTTTCCTCTTCTATTCAGCTTGATTGTCATTTCAGCTGCTCTATCGAATTTCTGTTTAAGATGATCGCCAACTTGCCGAAATGAGGGTTGTTGCATCCAGCATGTTTTCATGGAGCACGAACCAGATAAACCATGGCACTTGCATTTCTTCCAGACCAGCTTTGAAAGAGCCTGAGGAATAAAAATATATGACTAAAGAGCACTTATCTGCCATTTTTATCTCAATACTGAACGGTTTTAACTTTATAACTGAGGGACCGACCAACCTTTAGGGAGTGGTCATTATTACTGAATTTTCTTTAGTCCCCCCTCTATAGCCCCTCCCAAGATCTGATCCATGAGAATTTGGTGTTAGATCCAGATAACAACCTCTACTTGATAATTTGAGTATTCTCGTGACCTGTTTTCTGGATAATGTATGAATGTTATAGGGAGAAATTAAAGGGTTAAAAGGCGAAAAAGTAACCTTTCGTCCAGCCTTGCAGTTATGTCTGTTCATGACAGCCTTTGGACTGTTACCTCTCCACCGCGCATCAGTAAACTGCTCTGAAAACCAGCTCCCAAACTTGATGTTGCTGTTACAGCCAGCCCATGTCCAGCCCTTCTGGGTGGAACCACTCAGTGATCGATCGCAGTCACAACTTTGAGTATTACCAACACTACACGAAGCTGTAACCGCATGAGCGACTCCTGCTGCTGTGATGGCGTACAGATAGGCTGATTCGCGACTGGCTAAGAACAAAATAGACAAATGCTTTAATAGCCATGATACAAATCGTTATTTGATGTGTGACCGGCTTTATTTTTAGACAAAAAATAACACTCGTATTTGGATAAAAATGACAATAATAATAATAATAATAATAATTATTATAATAGAAATTTATAACTTGTTTATACCTCGACTATACCGGCTTACGATATCTTATTAAAATAACTCAGAAAGGCTAGAAAATCAGGGCTAACTAAGTAAACACAGAAAAAAAAAACTTATAAAATGTCTTTCCAAAAAGAGACGTTCTAAGTCTCTCTTTGATTATATTAAAACTGGAAATAGAGCGAATTGAACTGGAATGTAGGTTCCCAAGTCATGGTCTAGCACTAGAAAATGATCTATCTCCCAGTCCCCCTGAGTATATCCTTGGCTATCCCCTCTGTGAATGTCAGTAGGATACTAGAGTCATTATTACACCGTATATTACACATGGACGGAGGCAATATAGACAGTGAATAACTCAATACCTCGGCGTCACCCAATATCTTAAAGTAAGTATTATTTCAAATGAAAAAACGATTACCACGAGAAGTATTTTTTGCAACTTATTACAGAAACATTTCAGGTCTCACAATTCATTGCAAAGCCATAAATTCATATATGCGGAAAGTGTTTTTCTCATNAGGGCAAATTTTCTTTTCAAACATTTATTCTATTTAAGTGTGACTACTTGAGGTGTACAGGGTCAGGGTTTCCCTCGCATACAGAATTTATATATATATCTACATATATCTAAGGGAGCTGATCCTATTTTGAATCTCCAAAATTCTCATATATTTTCTCCAAAAACAACTACTTTTCCAAGATATCAGGTGATAAATAGGGAAAGAAAATTAAGGCTAACTGCCGGTATTGTAAAGTACGCTGTCCAAAGAAGGATATTGTGTAAGCGGATTTGCTTGTTTTTACAATACGTCCAGGTATCGACAAACCCTTGAATGAATTTTTGTCACGTAACGAAACGTTTTCAATGTTACTTTCCAAACAAGAGAAAGTAAAAAATTCAATACAATACCGTATGTTATAACTAAGATTTTATCCTGCCCCAACCGCTGTTTTAGGCTCCTTTTAGGTCTTTCTCTTCCGTTTCCCTCAGTGTGCAGATGATAAATGAACTACTACAGTGGAGATAATTCTCATTTCCGCCCTATGTGTTACACCGTGTGAATCACTTTTTGTTCCCACCTAAGTTTTTTTTAACCACAGCCGCGAGCGGTGATGATTCAGCTGTGCACATGAAATGTGCATGCACGAAAAGTCAATTAAGCGATCTGTCATTATCTATCACCGGGGGGAGGAGTCGGAGGATTTTAGTTGTCTCACGATCTCCCCATAAGGCTGTGTAACATTCTTACGACCCCCCTCCACCCGCATTGCCGGTTAATTGGCAGTCAATTTTCTACAGTCCTCCCCTTATATGCCGTTCATACTCTGTTAGCGACGACTGACCCCCCTTCGTCCCCCCCTGAGAAATTCTTCGCCTTACCCCCCCCGGCAATACATGATGACTGACTCCTAAGGTCTCGCGAAATCCTAATTAAAAGATGAGTTTTACAAAAACCCACTGTAATCAGTGTTTTTTAACTACACAGTATAGAAGCAAGAGGCGTTCAGGTGACTTGCCCTGACACCTACTGGTCAAGTTCCTGTTTAGTCTACGTCTAGGAGTTAAACTGAAAGTATTACCGGAATATGTACAAGGAACACTGACAGATCCGAAATAAACATTCTCTGGAAGGCGTTACAATTAAAAAAAAAATCTATAACTTTTGTCGAGCTTATCGAAACTATCGCCAAGAGAGTGTATTCCCGAAATAAGATGTTCATCGTTGCCACCTTCAATAGACAGCAACAAGCGACGAGAAAAGTTGACATCATAAGACAATAAATAGAAGAGAAGCGCTTTAACAGATCTAATCAGTTTTTCTTCAGATCGATGTAGGTAGATGGACCACTCAGGAGGTTTGAGAAAAGAGAATCATTTAGAGAGCTAAACTGAAACTTACCGACATCATGATGGGTGCAATTGTAAAGCTACCAAATATATATATATAATGCCGGGCTGATTTGTCCGCGCGATTTCCTCGGACGAATTAAGAAAAAGTTATTCTACTGTAAAAAATACATCGCTGCCTTAAGGTTCGTTTTAATTGTCTCTTTAAAAACGTGTCTTATTTTAATGTTAAAACCAACATCTGCCGAGATAGCGATTACACCGCAAATTGATTGATTAAATTGAATAAGTCGTGGTTCGGCAATTTCCTTCCAGGAAACAAGGCTTAAGACACTAACCACATTCCCTGAGCGAGGTGTTTGTAGTTTCTGTACAGATATGACTGAGTTTCACGAAACTGTATCATAGCTATGTAGCATTCGGGCTTATCTCACTGAGATTGCTTGTCTCGAATTGTAATCAACAACCACTCCTGAAGTCGAACGAACCAGTGCACCCAGAGTTGAAAAAAGGAAACGTCTCCAAGATAAAAATTGAAAATAATTCAAGCAACATCAGGTAGACTATTCATTATGGTGGAATATTATCATGGCTTAAATAATGATCTCAGAGATATGAGTCCTGCGCTGCACATTGGACTTTAGTCAACACAATGCATCCGTCAGTTCACTTCGGTACAGAATTGCGTGTTAATGATAATACCTTACGCTGGCAAAGTGAGACCGTAGCATGTTCAGATGCAACAATTTTTCTGTGTAACACTCAGAACTCAGTGTTTAGGTGCACTTGAGTACATATTTGATAAAATTAAAATCAGTGTCGTTACGACACTGAACTTTTAGCTTTTTTTGCATTACTTCTAGAAGTTGTTTTTCTTAGTTGACTTCGGTTGTTAGTTCTTCAAAGGGGGTTAACAAAACACATTTTTTTTTCCCTGCATGTCTCTCGAGACAAAATCACGTCCTAAATATTTGAAAAGAGTCGGAAAGAATCACAAGCACAAGATGTGTCAGATCGAGAACTGTTTTAGAGTCTGCTAAGAAACAACGAATCTTCCTTTTGTAAACAATCAATAAAGTAGTCAATGTGTCATTTTCTTAAAACAAAGGCAAGCTAAGATCAGAAGCGTAGCGCCCATGAATAAGGTATAATGTTATTAGAGTGTTTCCAATAAGAGCCAACAAACAAAAAGTTAAACTTAACCGTCAATAAAAGCTGCAACTATCGCTGCAAAACTTATGGTTCAAACTAGACTTATAACTCTGTCCCTGACAAATAAACTATATCCTAAGAAAACGAACCCTTTGGGTTTAAGTAAACAGATCTTGAAGCTGTCACCTCAAGTGAGACATAAGTAATGCTCACGGCTCAAGGCAGACCTCGCTTACCTCGCTTTAAGATCGGGTCGAACAGTGTTCCAGAGTCAGGAACAGACGAACAATTCCATCGCCTGTGTCGAAACTGAATCTGACATTCTTCCACCGCTTCTCTGGCTCCTTTAGCCACACTTGCCATCAGAGTTGGGTGTCTCCGGCAAATATCTTGTTGTTTTGTGTTAAGCTGAGGAGTTGTGAAGCATAGGAGAGCTGCTTTCTTCGCTGGATCCGTTGAAAGTGTGGTATGTGTTCCTAACGTCCTGGAAAAAGCCCAAAAAAATCAGTCGAGTTTAGAGAGGTTTCGTGGGAGACATTTACACAAGGAGGCTGCGATGACTCAACAAAATTCGAGGTAGAAAAACAGTTTGTTAACTCACCACCAAACTGACTTGCTTGGCTTGGAGAAACTTAAACAAATAATGAAGAGCCACAGAAATGTTATCGTCATTGCTTGGCTGAGTCAGCGCAGGCTTTCCACCCTAAATCGTTCTAAATCGTATTCTGTTTCTCTTGAAAGAAGCACGCGTTTTTTATCTTAAAACTCAATGGACGTGGTGTCTTTTCCTAACTGCCGAATAAAAGGCTGGAATTGGAATTAAGCAGGTGTCAACAGTTTACGAGAGTGTCATTAAAACCAGCTAATAAAACCTGTATTCAAAAAGTGATTAAATCGTACAACCCAACCAAAATCAACTATGCAGCAAAATGACGCAACGTCGCTACTACTCCAAACAATTTATCGGACCTTTAATAGAATGCGCTCGAATTAAAACCAAACGGGTTCATTGTTCCGTTCTTATTAAACAGGGCTCTGTTAAAATGTATAACAGAATGAATATTTCACCAATTTGCTTTAGGTAGCAAATCTGTTATAGGTTCAAAGCGTTGATTAAAAAATGCTTTAAAAATATTTCACACGAAAGGTGAAATTATAACGATTTAATTGTCATCATCGGAAACGCTTTAAAAGAATCCCACTGATCGGAGGAAAATGGTGGAAAGCCAAGGGGCAAAACTAAATCTAAGTTTAAGTCACCGAAACAGTTTTGATCATCGGTACATATTTCCTTTCCTTCCCCAATCACCGCCATGTCAGCATTTGTCGGAAATGCGTAACTTGTTCATTGTGGTGGGCGGAATTCGGCTAGCGCAAAAACAAACTATGGGAGTAATTAGCTGTTTTCTACACAACACATTACATACCTTTCACAATCAATTAATTGCAGTTATCAGGGAACGATCACAATACACTTGCGCTTTGTGAGGTCTCCAGGGACTTCTAAGGAAGGATGCCTTCCTTTAAAAAAGTTTCATTAGTTATAATAAAGATACGACGTGTACCGTAAAGACTTCATCACTTGCTGGAAGTTTTGCAAAGACAACTTCGACTTGCAAGTTTTGTTTATTCAGGGCTTCAAATGATTTCTTTTGCGCCATTGTCAGGTGGGTGCTACACCGACACTTGGTTAATTCATTTCAACTTTATCCCTGAAATGTTAATCAAACTCCTCCATAACTGGGAGTAATGATCGTAATGGCTGTCTCGATTTTTGTCTGAAAACTTCACGAGCTGTCTTGAGATTTGCCACATGAAACAACCCCCAGTCAAATCTGTTCAAAGATATTGACAACGGGCAAATATTATGTTTCTTAAGTTTGTGCATGGCTTTGAGAGGAGCGCTTGCACCACAAACCAGGAAAAATCTCTTTGACCAACGATTTATGAGTAAAAACCACACATGATGTTAATGAAAGCATCACAAACTTTGGTTCATGTAATGTAAAGCTATGTCAACATATCATCAAAAACAATCCAGCGCAATATACTGAGGATTTAGATTTTAGTCGGTTTCACTTTGTGTAAACACTGTTGCAAAGCGGCTTACTTGAAAGACATAACAAATTAGTGCGAAAAATTGTTTAGATCTTCTAAAAAAGATACCATAAACGAAAAACGAAATCTTTATTTCCTTTACAGGTTAAAAATTTACGACTCTTTGTTCTCGCATTGTCGTTTAAAAGGTTTATTTGACCATAAAATGACGTTCAAATGGTTTTTCTTAGCGTGTTCCTAATGGAAAGACGTAGAGAGTTGTCAACGTTGGAGGACGTGTTTAGTTTACCCAACCTCTGGTACCTCGTTCCTGAGATCAAAAGCGATTCCTCCGTTATGTTATTTTATAGTATGTATTCATAAATGTATTTGCAGGGACAAACATGTTTAAATAATACTCCTCACACCTTGGCCATTAGAGAGTTCATTCCTTCTCTCCCTTACACTGTGGTGGCCCACCCCTCCCTTACACTGTGGTGGCCCACCCCTCCCTTACACTGTGGTGGCCCACCCCTCCCTTACACTATGGTGGCCCACCCCTCCCTTACACCATGGTGGCCCACCCCTCCCTTACACTGTGGTGGCCCACTTCTCCCTTACTCTGTGGTGGCCCACCCCTCCCTTTACTGAGTTATTTCACTCCCCCTTACACTGCGTCATTCCTTTACCTATCCTACTCCACCTTTCTCAATAAAAATGAGCCAAATAAAGCTCGCTTGAGTTTACAGTGTTAGAGAACCAGTGATCTTGTTATGCTGCAGTAAGCGATTAGAAATGCATCTCCAAAGAACAGCAGTAGTCAAGTGTAGCCATAACAGATTTCCGCTAAAAGTAACGTGCGCAAAAGTCCATTGAGGGAACTAACTAATAATAAGATCGTTGTGACTTTACGAAAAATAAAAGAAACAGTATTAAGAATTAACAGTGGTGCTGTGAGGGAAATGTCTGAAATGAGAAGAACCTGTCGTTTCTTTTTTTTTTTTTCTCTCTGCACTCTTAGTACGGTTCCAACGACCAAAAACATTCTCTTTTTCTTTCATCATACGCCAGCAGAATGACCAGAAGTCAGAATCTAATGAATCCTTTATAAAGGTGTTATTGTTAGCTAATAAGTTTGTAAATTATTCAATTCCTTTCTTATCAGTTAATCGTCCTTATTTTTGGTCTTCTTTGAGTTCTTCTCTTCCAGTTTTTGCCTGTCCTCAGCAGATTTCTTAAGTTCCTTTAAGTTGAAATCTCGTTCAATGTTGACCTGTCAAAGAATGGATAAAATTGAATTTGCTTTGTTTGCTCTGTAAATCGTTTTGTTATTAACACCGTAACATTAGTATGCATATTCTCCATACTATTGTTTATGTATTTCCTATGGTGCTAACAAGGAGAATTTGTATAGAAATCAAACGTTTCCTCAGTTGCTGATCATTTCCCGTATTCTCATGACCTTAATAAGTGATTCAAGGGAGATACCGTAAGGAGAAATTAGATACTGGTCACATCCCTAAGGGTCAAAGGGTTAACAACCAGGAGTGACCAGGACAGAAAGAAAGAAAGAAAGTCTTAAGCACTCTAAACAACAAACGTGTCTAGTTACAATGATAAGGTTGAGATCGGACGTCAGCATTATCAGGCGCCTCTGGCAGCCACTTCAGTCCATGTAACGATCTCACCTTCCCTCCTGTCCCACCCCAGGGGAGGACATCCACCACACAGTAACCTCGTGCGTGGGAAATTAACATCTCCTACCCCTAACCCTGCAGGAGACGGGGCCTACGGTTTATTCGTCCTTATCTGAGAAGACTAGAATATCTATCCATTTCTTGATATTATAGAAAGGTAGCAAATTCTCCTCACTTATTTTAAGACCATGCGTACTGGTCTGGCCGGGGACACAATTTCTTAACAATATCAAAGCCATTTCAAGCAGACTTGAATAAAGAAAAATATCAAATAGGGGATTATTAGTTCATCATTAGAATTGTATGGCAGACAGTAAGGAAAATTACTTAAGAGATCTTGAATGAGAAAGGGTTAAAAGACTGAAAAATGATATAAAGTTCTGTACTATTCTGTAGAGTGAACACAACTTACCTCAGTGAAGGTATAAGGAGTTATAACACGTTTCCTGTCAACCAATGGCCTTCTTTTTGTTTCCTTTCCACCCTCAAAGAGAATTAAACTTGGAAGCTGTTTAGAAATGACAGATTCATCTACCTTGTACCTAGAAAGTAAAAAATTAAAACTTTATTTAAACAGGTGTGTTGCTTAAGCTTCATAAGATGCTACTACTCCTCAAAGGTAACTGCTATTATTAAAAACTGGATCATTGGATAATGCAATTCAAGACTTCTAATTGGCTTAGCCATTATGTTATATGAGCCAATATACCATAATCTAATATCTGTACATTGTAACATCCGGTTTCTTCTTACAAAATAAAGTCGAGAAGATTTCTCTAATATCTTGGGGGCCTTTTTTTTAATAAAACAATTATTCCACTCGCTCTTTTTGGATATGAGATGATCATAGCCAACTCATATCCAATGCGCACTAGTGGAATAATTGTTAACTATAGTGTAGTGAAGCTACAAAGGCATGCAACAGAGACTTAAAAACAAATGCTTTATTCCAAGCACATGAAGTTCATCACTCTTCACTTTCCTGCTTTCACACACACTCTTCTAAGTTCCCAGTTATTTGTGAACTACCCGTGGCATAATACACTACACTACCAATGTCATTTCTAACATTAAAAAGAACTACCTAAGAAATGGAATATTCCTAGTTGAAGTACCAATACATTATCTCCATTTTTTCCATTAGAAGGAAAACTTAAAGGGTTTCAAGTTTGCTTATGATTTAATAACTAATAATTATGTGATAATGCAGCTCAAAAAAATTGCTTTATAATAAAATGAATTCACCCCTGAAAAAAATACGGAATCTTTGCGTCTGACTCAAAAAAACGGTAATGTAAGATATTACTCAGTACCTGGTGGGTTTTAATCAATCCCATTACTCTTGTTACATGATCTGGACAACAATGTTATTTTGTCAATCTCTCATCATTGTACTTACTTTTGGGCTATAATTGGATATTTTCCAACATCTAGTTTTCCAAACCGAAGATGACTGTGGTTGTATCTTAATTGAAAAATAAAAAAAAAAGTTGAATGTGAAGATGAATACCATCTAATCATCTAGTTGATTATTCTTTTTACATACAATTTTAATAGAGTTAAAAAAAATTGCATGAAAGGACACAAGTCAAACTCTTTTAATAATAAAGTTAACAGCTCCTTCTACCTTATTGCAACATGAACAAATTCTGATTTGTAAAAAAACCTTCACCACAATAAGTGCTAAGTTTTATAAGTTAAAGACTCGTCTCTATCTTGAATCATAAAATGTTCTTATGTTCCCTAAATAACATTAATGGATTTAATTTAATACTCTTGCCTGATACCTGGTATCAGAAATAATTTGAATATTTACCTGAGAGAAAGTTCGGCAAATGTTGGAGCAAATCTGACACAGGGGGGGCACCAGGGGGCATAAAATTCTACCAACCATGTGACAGAAGGGTTATCACGTAAGGCATCCTGAAATTAAAAAAGTCGACTCTCATGAGGTCAACAAGAACAAGTAAATTTAATTTTTGATCATTCATAATAGTCTTTAAAAATGCTATTCACATAATTTGTCACTCCAAAAAAAATGTGCTCAAATGTCATGTTACAAGGTTCGCGGCAGCTTCTATTTCAAGAATGCTTACATCAAGTGCTGGTCCTCTGAAGAAGAATATTTCATCAGGTCCACTGTACGATGGCTCAGGAAATAACAAAAACAAAACTGAGGATGAAGAAAGAAACAAGAAATGAGAAAATTAATGATTAGTGTCAATCATTTTCTGCAAAAACCCTTGCACTCTTAGTGTCCTCATTGTTTTGTCAGAGCTTTTAGTTAACTATAACCATAAAATCAATTTGACTGAAATTTTGGTATCTCCAGTAGGTTTCCAAATGAAATACTCAGGATAAAATGGGTGAAAACATTATGACTGAACAACTTATCTTTATTCAGTTCATTTGTTTAATAACTTGATTACTTAAATTGCCCATTCACCCTATTGTGCTCACCTAAGAATTTTTCTTTGATATTTTTGTAATTATAGTGCATCTGGGTCAAATGTATCACATCCCAATATTGTTCAATGAAAGGTTGACTTTGATAAAACAAGATACACTCTGAAGTTCTAACAAACAAACAGAAATGTACCACAGGTCACTCACCCAAGCAAATGATCAGGTAAATAAGACCAAGCCTAAGATCTGACCGTGCAAAAAGAACAAAGTTTGCAATTTTGCTAAACAAGAACACCATTGATGCTATCTCTTGCCAAGAAGCTGAAAAAAAAAAAAAACTGTTAGTGAATGTTTGTCAAAAAATGACGTTGGACTTCAGTTCAAGAAAAACTAATAGGGGACTATTGTTTAAACTTGATGAAAAAATCAAGTAGTTTGATAACAATAGAAAACAAGTCTCTTCACTAGTTGTACTTGCAAACACCTAATTTGCAGCAAAAAGTTTTCATGTCCATTTAGCTGTGTAATGATTTCATAATTTAAAAAAAAAGAAACTGTTTTCTCATAGGAAAATTCAAAGAGCAAAGAGGCTTTATGGCAAGCTTTCTACATTCACAGGATAAAGTTGCAGTAGGGATGAACCTCTAAAGGGCAAATTTTGCAATTGGGTAAAACTTTCAGAAACCAGTATTTGCCAGTGAGGATTTAAGTAGGGATACTGACACTTCAATTAAATTTATGTTTACGATAAGTTGAAATACCTGGCTTCCACTTTCTGTTTTTAACTGCAAGGACAATCATAAGAAATGACAGTAGCTCAAAGTCCCGCTATGGAATGAACATATTGTCATCTTTCATTTTGTAGTTTGCTAATCAAATCAACACTTGTCACAGTAAGCATCCCAATATTATTAAAATAGTAAGTCCAATGCATGATTTCTTTAAATTCTCCATTAAATGCTTGATACACTGTCCCATTTACGATTCCCTTGTAAACAGAAACTAATGAAGGTGGCAAAGGGTTTAAACATGATGAGTGACAAAGGCCAAAACTTTTGATGAGCATGATACATGAATTTATGGACTGATGCGAAGTGTGACTTGCCTCTAGAAATATATGTAACCCGTAAATTTATCTTCTATTTCTTGAAAGTCTCAAGATTTTCCTAAAATCTCCCACACAAGAAGAGAGGTGTGAAGTTTTTCTTGTGTGAAACGGGATCAGAGCCCCCCTCCGCCCTTCCTGAAGAACGTAATGAGACTGTTGGTAAAGGCTGTGTACACTCTAACTGAATTTCCAACACTTCCTTTCATATCCGTTTGAAAATAAAAATACCATAAATTACATTTCAGGATTTGAGGAATGTTACTGACGCTGAAATACTTCACCTGAAAAAGCGGTATTGATACGCAGACTAAGGCGTTTTCACGAAAATTTTCTTACCACCATTATGCGTTTATTCTTTGTTATGGATCAGGTTGTAGGAATCACAGATATGGAATTGCCAAATATCGAGGCAAATTGAATCAACAGGCTTGAGAACGAAAACTTACGTGAGTATGAAAAAGTTTAGGTAATATCCTTACAGTCAGTCACCTACCCAGCTGATTTGACATTCCTCACCAGGGAAAAGCCAACCACAAAACGGCTCCAAACACCGTAATATAACGTATAATAAGCAAGCTATAGGATTCAAAATATAGTGGCCACTAAGCAATGGTTTTAACGAATCTAACTTCATGTTCTTTTTCTAACTAAACAGCGATTTTCTTGATGAATATCAGGACTGGTTTCATATTAATGTCAATTTTCCAAAATTACCGCTGAACTCATTGCGTGACAGTAGATGGCCTCGCACTCAAACCGAGGTTTCCCATTCATGGGTATCAGAAAGTAGAATGCTTTCAAACACGTAAAACAAATCATACCGTTCTTCTTTTTAAGTCTCTCCCGTTGAGAAATAACAATATATCCACTTATACTATTTTCACCAGCTTCATCTGTCCACTGTCAGGTCTGACATAAAAAAAAAAAAAAATTAATGAAATGAAACAGATGTTCCCCACCAAAATCCAAACGGGAACTTCTGTTTTCAGGGAGCAGCTTAGCTGATTATTTTTATAATAAAAGAGGCTGAGAAAAAAAATCTTCAAATTGCTATAAGATCTACCGTTCACATAACTGTGTAATCCATTCCGAACAACATTCCAGACTTTTCTTTAAACAAGAACCGCTGATCAAGAAACTGCAGTTTCTTAGTTGTGATCAGCTGAGCGAAAAGTACGCGTGTAAACAAAGCGAAACCAACATCAACATTGAAATTCAAAGCGATTTGATGTACAAACTTGGCGTCTTTTAAAAACAGCTCGATTTGCGCCTTTCACGACACCTGACACTATAAAAATTAAGCGCCTTAGATTAGAAAGATGTGCGACTTTAGGTCGCTTCCACCTGAAATTATTTTCGAAATATTTTCTTTCTTGGATACGAAAAGTCTCTGTCAAGCGTCACAAACTTGTAGAAACTGGTATGACTTCATTTACAATTCCGATCTCCTGTGGAAAGGTAAATGTTATTCTCTCAATCAGGAGGATATAAAGAAAGACATTGAATCTGGTCTGTGGTGGCGAAGTATTTTCATCCGAAATTACGGGATAAATCTGATAAAAACGCGATGGCTTGAGGGCAAATCACTTCCTAGTGCTGTTAATCACCTTGGACCACTAAATGTCGAAACTTGGGGAAATATTCTGGATATGGAAGTCAGCCGAAGTACATAATGTGAATGTTAACACACTGGAGATCAATAATACTACAGACAATAATTGAAATACGTATGTTGAAGCTCGAGGCCAATATATGATGGACTTTACTCGACCTTTTCGTTCTCAGTGCGAGTGGTTTAGCATTCAGTTGGAAAGAATCATAAACTACTCATTGGTACTCGACAGAGAAAGCACCTTAAGACAGCTATCCAAATGTGGCCCGAAATCTCCGTCCAACAGCCCCAATATAATGAGAACTTGTGCGTAAGCTACAGACAGTTGTTTATTGTCTTAAAAGGGAATTGCAAGTCACTTCTGGGGAGCAACTTCTCAAAATGACCAAATAAATATACAAACAGTGACAAAAGACATTCATACCTTTGAGAATGAGAGTGAGGGACTTCTCACAAGTCGGATTTCAAAACAGCTATTTAATATATTATCTTTTTAAAATACATATATATACACATTAATAATGGTATTTTAAATACATTTAGCAATACCTGGAATTATAGAAGTATAGTGTGTTTAGAAATTTTAACATTCTTATTCTTATTGTAAAAAAAACTGCTTTTAGGTGCCACAGACAGTTAATCAATTGATGACTGTGTGAATGTGTAAAAATTTCCTTTTTAAAAATCACATTTAAGTACCTGTATTAACTATTTACAAAAATATATTAAATGCTAGTATTTTAACTAAATTTGTCTAATAACTCTTGTTTGCTTTTTAAGCCAGACTCCCATATGGTGGATTTAAAATCATTTAAAAGAGTATGGAATAATAATTTGGAAGAGTATGCAATAACAGAACTCTAACCAAACTGACTAGACCAAATTTTTTCCAATGTATACAGTCAACTAATAATCCTGAATCAGCTACATTTGTAAATGATCTCTTTTTGTGTCTTTTTCGGGACAAAGAATTAGAAGTTAACCCAAGATATCAATATATGGAGATGAACCCTTTAACTCCAGAGTTGTAATTTTTATATTGTGACCCCTCTAACTGCTACACATTTCCTTGCAAATTAGATTTGAGAATTTGGTGTTAGATCAAGATAACAATTTCTATTGATAATTTTTTAGTAAACTCGTAACCTGATTGTTGTATACTGTATGGATATTATGGAGAGAACTTATATACTAATCACTTACGGGAATGAATGGGTTTAACTTCCGTCTCGTTTCGTTTCTAAAGATTTGTACATTGTACAGGTGGAAGAACAATAGGACACGTAGTCCCCTACTAGGTTCATCCACCAAAACCCAACCCACCCATCTCACCCCCGGGATTTGTACATTGTACAGGTGGAAGAACAATAGGACACGTAGTCCCCTACTAGGTTCATCCACCAAAACCCAACCCACCCATCCCACCCCCGGGATTTGTACATTGTACAGGTGGAAGAACAATAGGACACGTAGTCCCCTACTAGGTTCATCCACCAAAACCCAACCCACCCATCTCACCCCGGGGAAGGACATCCATCACACAGTAATCTCGTGCGTGGGAAATTAACGTCTCCTACCCCTAACCCTACAGGAGATGGGAACTCCATTTATTCGTCCCTATCCGAGAAGACTAGAATATCTAACCATTTCTTGATGTTATAGAAAGGTAGCATATTCTTCTCAATTATTTTAAGACCTTGAGTGTTGGTCCGGCCGGGACTCGAACCCTCGACCTCCTGCACGACAGTCCAGCACTCTATCCAATGAGCTAACTGGGAGGCAGTTAGGGTTTAGGAAAGGGTTTAACTTCCGTTGTTCACTTTGAGAGATATTTACAGTCAAGCCCAGTACTAGAAAAATACTGACAACAATATATACATTATAATTAAGTTGTAATATGTACAGAATATTTTAAACTTTGTCAGTGCTTGATATCTGCTGGTAAAACTCTTTTCAATTTCATACAGTTTCTGCAGACAACAAAAAAGAGGAATAACATTTAGTTTGTATGTCAAGAACAACATGAATGTAAAATGTGTAAAACACCAAACAGAAAGAGAAGCATTATGTGATGAGTACACTTAAGGGAAACAAATAATAATGATAATAATAATAATAATAATTATTATTATTATTATAATACTAATATAATAGTAATAATAATAATAATAATATATAATAACTATTATTATTATTATTATTATGACAATAACAAACAGTTCTTAGAACTCAATTCACAAATCTCAATGCATTTACAAATTTAGAAAAAATTGATTCATACAAATTGGAAATAAACATAGTAAATAGACAATTAAACACTGTGTTTAGGAACCCCAACTGTCAGGTGCCAGACCACTTGACTATATACAGGGCAATACAAAATAAATCCAGTGAGTAGCAGGGTGGGGCTTCAACCTGGGGCCACCAGATTTCCTGATTGGCACCCTCACCATTCAGTCACTTTCCCTCCAGCATGTTTACACATAGTGCAAGGCTTGCGAAGGTGGGTGTAGAGAAACAACTTAATTATCTTGGCACTTAGTACAAAATACTCACCACAGCGTTTTTTGAGCTTCACTTTATTCCGCTAGGAAAAAATAAATGATTTGAAGTTATACATAATTATTTATTTATTTATTTTGTCATATAACATAAAAAAAGAAGGAAGTTAACAGAAATCGCAAAATTTATAATTGTATCAAAGATGACAGATTACAGTTACAATCATAATTTACAATTTATACACCGCATGCAAATATGGCATCCAATTTGAATTGCCACTGTTCTGGACTGACTAGCCTCTCACACATGTAATAATCCTTTCGTATTTCCACCTGAAGACGAGGCTAGTCAGTCCAGAACAATGGCAATTCAAATTGGACGCCATATTTGCTTTCGGTGTATAGCAGTTCAGTAATGTTGTCAAATTTGAGGGGTGTAATGAGGAAGCTGAAATTGTACTACTATCAAATTCTGTACCATCAATTTATTACTTAAACAGGACAAAACAAACTAAAACAATACAATACCACAATATGTGGTCTTAGCCTTCTTTTCTTTTCCTACGAAAAATGGTCAGTCATCCCATTCGATAAGGGTTGGTGCTGCTGATAACTTTTCAGATGCAGTCTCAATCTTACAACTGGGAATGACTGTATCCAGTAACCATTTAAGTACAAGAAGTTGTTAACATGTAACTTCTTCCTATTAAAAATCCATAGTTACATTACCCAGCAAACAGGTAATGAGAATACTAAGATTTATCAGGTGAAAGTTATCTTGATAAAACATCAAATTCTCATAACTTATTTGCAAGGGAATGTGTAGCAGCTTGAGGAGAGAGTTAAAAATTTGATCTCAAGAGTCAATGAAGTTAATAAGACAAATAACTAAACCAAGTTGAACAATAACCACATTTCAGACAAAAGAAAATTACCAATTTCCAACTGAGCAAGTCAATCCATTCTTGCATTTCCTGCTTAGAGTCGGCATATAGAAAAAATGTTCTGTCCGGAAAAACTAAGCTGAAAAATTAATATTTCCAAATTTCTATTAATAACAGATGAAATACAAAATCAAAGCTCAGCACTTAAGGGTAAACAAGGCTCATTTACAAAAGGAATCCTTTTTTGTAATAAAACCCTTTAACTCCAGACCTACAATTGACCAACACATAACCTCTCCCTATGATATCCTTACATTATCCAGCAAACAGGTGATGAGAATACTCGAACTGAGCAGGTAGAATTTGTTATCTTGATTAACTAACCAAAACCCTCATAGCTGAAAAGCCCACTTAGGGAGCATCAATAAAGTGTATGTATGTATGTATGTATAACTGATCTACAGGGAAATGTGTAGCAGCTAGAAGAGAGAATTAACAATCAGATCTTGGGAGTTAAAACGCCAGGTTACCTAGTACTCCCAACAGTGTGACTGGCCGTTAATACTTAAATTTGCATCAACTATCCTGTTTTACCAACTAAAATATACCTGTATGTACTTTGTGCTCTTTACTTGTAATCAAAATTGCACACTACTTCTTCTCTTACCTAAAGGCATTGGGCTTTCCACATGTCTCATTTTTGACAGCTTCTTCTGCTAGGTGGAGGTCAAGCACTTTTAAAGGTTTCTTATCCTGAGAAGAGGTATTTGCAGCCAATTTTATTTAGATATTCCTTTCAAGTGTGTTGACCAAGAACGAATGCCATTTGTTAGCAAGAGCAATCACATTACAAATTAACCATCTTGAGAGTTTAAACAATCAATGTACTTGATATATATAAGGAACAAAAATATTAACAAAAACCAATGTACACCAATACCATACTTCTTGTACTATGCATAATGATCACTCAACTCAATTCTTACCCCTCGTTGGTTATAGTACTGTAGTGTATATCTATTTGTAACAAACCACCTTCTCTTCCAGTTCTACGAGAAAATAGCATGGTTTCATTATCAAATACTGTGATTTGATTGCTGTTTTAGACTGATGAATAAATTTAAATGTTAACTTTTTCATTTTATTCATTCAACTGAAAAATTTGGTATTGAGTCTTTTGTAATTTATTCATGGATATATTGAAAATCAATAATTTCAATCGATAGAGCGCTGGACTGATGTGCTGGAGGTCGAGGGTTCGAGCCCCAGCCGGACCAACACTCAAGGTCTTAAAATAATTGAGAAGAATATGCTGCCTTTCTATAACATCAAGAAATGGTTTAGATATTCTAGTCTTCTCGGATAGGGACGAATAAATGGAGGTCCCATCTCCTGCAGGGTTAGGGGTAGGAGACCTTGATTTCCCACGCACAAGATTACTGTGTGATGGATGTCCTCCCCTGGCGGGGGAATGGGTGGGTTTTGTCTCGCGATTATATGAGCCTCTGGCTCGGGCAATATGGGCAACCATGCCCCACGCAAAGACATTAAACTTGATTACAGGAATGATATGAATGTTTACCTTATGAATAGCTCCTTTTTTAGTAAGAAATCCTTCCTTTGATGCAACCTGACGACCACAATGAACAATTGTACTGATATAATTTTTTTCCATGTATAATTGGATAGGAGAATCCCATTTAAATGTGATCAGAACTCTCATGCTTAAACTAGAGTACCCTATCAGCCTTAATGGTAGTATTCAGCCGTGGCCGGACGGATACTCACCGTCTTAAAATAAGTGAGGAGAATTTGCTACCTTTCTATAATCAAGAAATGGATAGATATTCTAGTCTTCTCGGATAAGGACGAATAAACCGTAGGCCCCGTCTCCTGCAGCGTTAGAGGTAGGAGACGTCAATTTCCTATGCATGACATTACTGTGTCGTGGATGTCCTCCCCTGGTGTGGGATGGGTGGGAATTGGCCCTGAAAAGCCCCCATGGGGAGTGGTCAACTAACATATGTATGTATTCATATTCCCTATTCTGTTCTCTATGCAGTAATCAATCTTAGGCATAAAAGGTTTAAATCATTTCTAAATAATAAATAATTGTTTCTTTACACTGTTTCTTACTCACCGACCAATTTACATCTGGTAATTCGTTTATTGGGGAACTTGGGTTGGACAAGGTGTGGCACTTAAAGGAGCCACTGTGCACCACATGTCTGGTGATGTCCTCGTAGACTGACAGCTCATCAACCTTAGAAGGATATGGAAATGCCAGTGTAACAGCTTGACCTGTTTTTAATAGAAAGTCATCAAATTATAAGTAAATAATTTGGATATATCAACAAAGTTGAAATGGTAAATGTGAAATAAGTAAGATACTGGTAAATTCAATTTAGATTATTTTGTATGTAAGATTTCATAATCCAAGAGTAGTATTGCATTCAAGTTTTTTTTAAGGTAGGCTTTTTTGTTCCTATACTACCTTAAAAAAGAATTAAACAGGAAGAAATCAAATGCTCCAAAAACCCTGCCTTTTTAAAAATAATTATATACAAGAGAATAAGAAGTTTGAAGGGGCTTCACATGGTTGCTAAAGAATTAAACAACAGACAAAAGTAAATTGAAATTTCTGATTGATTTAACCTGTGTCTCCTGGAATTATTGGGTAATTCTTGAAATGTTCCACTAGCTGCTCAACATTAAAAAATTCTCCAACTCCAAAGACAAACTTTATGTCATCATAAACCAGTGGAAAGTGCCTTACTGAATTGACGCTCCTGGAAAAAAGAAATGATGACTATCATCATTTATTCACTGTAAAACTTTAAAAATGTTAACTAGAAAATACCTAGATTTCAAATTAAATTTCAGTTACAGCTTGGCCTAAAATTTTACAACCTATAAAAACAAAGTAAAAGTACAACAGCTGCATAAAGTAAACACCATGACATAATATATAGATTTAGCCAAGCCTAAAAGTGGAGCTCCCAATTTCGTAATATTAATGGTAACATAAAAGATGTGCATTTGCCAAGACTTGCCTGAGACACCCCTCCCTTCGTTTTGATAGTCTCCCCTACCTACCTGTGCAATCTGAAGGCATGCATGTACATACAAATGTACGTACGTACGTACGCTCGGTCAGTCACGTGACAACCAAACGAAAAGAGGTTGACCATATTCCATGGGTATAGGGCTCTGCCCCACCTGCATGAAGTGCGTATGGGAGCCCCACCATTATAAAGTACTTACTTGACTGATATAGTGTACTGCCCTGGGTTGTTTTTACTTGGTCTCAGTAGGTAGCTTCCTTCACAGCCATACTCAAGTAGCAACACTTCAGCACCATTCCTGGTCAGATTATGATGATACCATCTGATAGATCAGAATTTCCCTTTAGGGTCACACCATGAAGATCAGAAACCTTATTTAAAGGAGATCTCAGTTTTCTTAGAGAATCTGTTTGAGAATGTTAACAGAATGAGCAAGAGCTCCATAAGTCTCTCCATAAGTCTACAGACTTATGGAGAGAACCCAAACCAGGAAGAAGCTATAAACAGGCAAAACTTCATATGTGGGAGACCAGAAAACAGGGTGAGAACAAGGATAAACTATCATCAAATGAACTCATTCAATTACAAAAGCACAACTCTCACATACCAGGCAACAATGTTACTTAATTATACTGCATTAAAGGTGCAAATGCACAAATTTAAAATGATTAGGCAATAAAAGTTAAAAAGGAGAAATTGTCTGAATAAGTTTTCAAGTTAACACCATCTAATATACTGCATAATGAGTTGCAACGGACCATTGCAGCAGCTAGGTGCGGTAAATAACTCTGGAATGAGTGATCATTAATGACAAATCAAAGAGGAAACAAAATCCACAAAGCAGATATCCAAGATCTGGGACCAAAAAAAAGGGAGGGTCAATTCTTTCACATCTGGAATTTTTTTCCTGTCCCTCTGAAAGGTATGATCAGACTACTCATGACTGAGATAAAAATATCAAAAAAAAAATTTCTCTCATATCTACTTTCGAATATATTCCCAGTAATTTCTATAAAAAACAAAACATGTTTACATTAGGCGTATTAACTTCTCAGATTTTGGTGTATCAGGTCAATATGATTTATAGATTAAGACATCACGTTACCAGGCAAGTTGATATAGCGTATTAATCAGCTGCCTGTCTGAACGTGTTTGTATACCTCTAGAAAACTGCGTTAAATATATGCCTGCCTGGAGGAATCCAACTAGGCTAAAAATATCAACATATGTGCAGGACTCAATATTGAAGCTTAAAATCGCATAAAAACACAGGATCAATCAATAATAATACCGCTCAGGTGAACTGAAACACGAAACCATCAACCTCACTTTTGTGATTCAAACTATCGTAAAAAATGAATAAAGGCTGATAGTTTCGAAAGAAACTGTTTGGGGCTGCGTCGGTGGGAGTAACGAAATAATTTGGATATATCAACAAAGTTGAAATGGTAAATTAGCCACCGTAATGATTACAAAAGCTGACGTTTCGAGCGTTAGCCCTTCGTCGGAGCGAAACTTACCATTTCAACTTTGTTGATATATCCGAATTATATCGTAAAAAATAAAGAATATATAGAAGCAAAGATCACAGCTTTTTTAAATGTGCTGACAAACAACACTCTTGGAAGTCATGAACGTTCGCCACATTCGTTGTATATTTGGATATGTCGTCCGATTGACTCTAAGTTGAGAGTATTTATCTTAATCTTCTACTTTATTACTTGAATTCAGCCCTACAACATGAAAAAAACTTACGGGATATCCTCGATACTTTTCTTTGTTAATGAGTCCATGTTTCGAGGTTCGCGGCTCATTGTCAAACGTAGCAGGAGACCTGGAACGGATTATACCTGTCCAAATATGGTAATTTCGTCACTACGGTGATTCCCAACAACAACTTTGTAGGCGCCATCTTTGTAAAGCTGCAGCGAGTTTGATCTTTCGTGTACTGACATCGAGGACAGCCCAGAATATGGATTATTGTATGCAGGAAGTAATGGTCTTTTAATTTAGTTGGTGAGTTCATGCAATGATGCTGTGTAACTAAATGATAACAATATTCCATCATACTGGGAGAATGTACAATTACAACTTCAGCTGATGAGACGGGAATGTTGCTTCCTGTCTTTTGAAAGAATAGAGCACCGTAGCAACGCAAAGAAGAAAATTGTATATCGTGTACCTCGGTGCATTACAGATCTCGATGTCTTAATCGTTTATTTAATTAGGTCTTACCGTAGGACTGCAAAAATGTGCAATCCATGCTCGAAAGGCTGTTTTTGATCTGATTGAAATGTCCTTCATACAAACAGTGTTTAATTTAGGAGAAAATGCGAGTCATAATGTGACGAGTCTTTATATGTTATGGTGGGGACCACCAGATTTGTTCGCTGCGTTGCTTATAAATTAGATTCACTCGTCTGTAATGGTGAGAACTTGCTCCAACACCTTGTAGTTTTGTTGTACTGGAGTAGAGTTTAGTATGATTGCTTTTTATCTCAAGTCCTATGTAGTGTTGTAGTTTTTTACTTCCTGCTGTCATGCTCTGATACCTAACCAAACATAACTTCTTTTCATGTTAGAGGGTGTCATATGTTTAACCATGCCAGTACAGACAGAACGAAGTGTCAATCATTTTGGAATAGAAGTATCCAACAGCATCACATGGCAAGGATGGGAGCCTGGGGGAGAGTACACTCAGCAAATTGTGCTTAAAAATGTGCAGATTAAAACTAAAAAGCTCCAGTACAAGTAAGTACTTAACTCCACCGAGCTTATACAGTTTTGATGCTGTGATCAATTAGATCTTCAGCATTCTTCCCCCCCCTCCCCCACTTAGGTAAGCTTTGGGCATTTAAACTTTTGAAAATTGGTTTGTTCAAATTCCTGCTCCTCCTGGGCCAAATTTGAGTTCAAATGCCCAACCCATTAGCACAATATTTGTTTTAAGGATTCTTTGTCTGGTCAAGGTGTTGTAGAATTTAGCAAAGGCACATTCATTTTAGTTGCTGCTGTTGGATTTTTTGCTTGTATGCATCACTCTATGATGAAAACATTTTCTTTTTAAACCATTTGCTCGTGAAAGTGGACTTTTTACCTTTAGACTCCTTCACATTGACATTAAAACACATGTATTTGGCTGAGAAAAAAACTTGACAGTTCTGCTTCAAATTCCCCACCCCTGGGAAGGCCTTTTGGGTCAAATGTCCCTGGGTTGCTGGGGGGAATGTTGAATCTTCAAACTGATCAACTAATAAATACCATGAACTATCCTTTGTTATTTGTCCAGTTCTGGGAAATAGGTTTAGCATTTCATCTTGTGTCAAAAAGTGGGAAAGGTTTACATATGTTGATATTGCTGTACCAAGCCAAGAAAAGCTTTATCGCTTTCCCATCCTTTTTCCCTCTTTCTATTTCCAGGTCTCCGTCAAGTAGATTTTTTACAACACTTTACCCTAAGCCAATTGTGCTAAGCTCTGGAACCAGCTTCACTCTGCCAGTCACATTCAGACCTCTTGAAAAGGTATAACATGATCTGCTTATTATTAAGTGGAGTGAACATCTTATGAAAAATGATGTAACCCGAGTAGCCATACCCTTCAAGGACCAAGACTCCTCTAACATTGTTAAGACACAGTTGAAAGACCTTAGCATTAAGCTCCAAACCACAATCCAGCCCGTATTTATCAATCGGAAAATTGGCCAAGACCTTAAAGAATGTGAAACCAAACCACAGCTGGTTAATCAACAGAGCGTAGTGTACCAATTTAAATGTAACCTGTGCGATACAGGGAGCTATGTTGGTTATACACGTGGGCATTTATATGCCCGGGTGGATAGCCATAAAAGCACGTCATCTTCAGTACGCAAGCAGTACGACAACGACCACGCAGGTACTGTCCCTGAGGACCTTCTAAGCTGTTTCAAAGTTCTCAAGAAGTGCATGAACAAATTCGATTGTCTTGTCAACGAGATGCTTTACATCAAACAATTAACACCGAGTTTGAACGTGCAAACGGATTCTATCCGTGCTAAGTATTTGTGTAGCTACCTCCCCTATGCAAATTAGTTGTAACTCTTGAACTCACATTTGTTAATTTTATTTTCATTGGTACCCTTGATAATGGCTTCATGAAGATGCCGAAACGTCGGGATATTATATCATTCCTTTTTACCTGTCTATGAACATCTAATAGAGCTTATTTAAAACAGTTGCCTCATTTATTTTTTTCACCGGAAGATTTCATCATTATGTTTGTAGGGACATTATGAAGACTGCATAGAGTTTGAAACAAATGTAAGTTGTTGTGAAGTCAGACTTACAGTAGCTTGATTATTATTGACATTATGAATAGTAAATGCAATAACAAACTAACTAAATGAAAAATATTTGCTTAAGAAGATTACCTACATTTGTTTGATTTTTCATCTTTTACTTTTTGACATCAAAGTCTTAAACTCTGTTGCTCTGTTATTAGGAGGGAATTTTTTCAGTTCCTATGAAAGCAGTCTTACCAAAAGCTGATATAGCAGTACCAGAATCACTTAAGTTCAACCTGTGTGCTGTAACGGACTGTGTAGAAGTTGTGTTTCAAATCACAAATACCAGGTATATATTTTATTTTCATTGATAACTATATTTTTATTACTCTACAGTGAGGTACAGTAGATAATACATGTAACTACTGGTTGCAAGCAAAAGATTCCCTAATCAACACACTTTTCCCAGCTCAAAACAGCATACAGGAATTAAATCCTTACTTAAGGCTTTTAGCTCCAACCTGTTGTGCAGATATTTCTGTCTAGACAAAGTTTAGCCTCATGTTTGCTTCATGGAATTATCTCGATGACCAGCAGCCTTAGTTAATTTCTTTTCTCTTGTTTTTCAGTGAACTGATAACAAATTTTCAGTGGAAGGTGTTGGAGCCATTTTCGATTGTTCCTGAAAGTGGCACACTGTCACCACGAACATCATGTAATATCAAAGCCACATTTAGCCCCAAGGTATTGTGGGAGATGTTTGTGGTGTGTATTGGTTATTGAGTATTGGGTAATGTTGAGCCATGAATCATTCCAATGCTCAAATTCTCCTAAAGTCTTGTATTAATTCACTTATTGATCACTATTTTGTAGGCAGCATTGGTTTATGAAGGCACTGCAGTGTGTACTTATAGTGCTGGACAGAAAGCTCCTTTTACAAAGCATGTCAAATTGGAAGGAATAGGTAAACTGAACAACACAGACTTACCAAGTTATGTTTGTTAAGCCTGTACTTTAAAGGCAAGTGGTCCACCCAGCTTATCCTTGTTTCTTTTATGCAACTGGGAGTATTACAACTGCCCCCCCACAACTGCCCCCAGGGGTAATTGTTATTAGTCCATCACAAGGTTACACCAGGCTTCCTTGACATTTTACAACTACCCATCATCATTTCTGCTCCTGGGTGGGGAGAGGCACTGTGAAAGTAAAGTGTTTTGCCTAAGAACACAAAACAATGACCTTAGCTAGGTCTCAGACCCAGACCTCTCAACCCACTCACCTACACTAACCTTTAGGCCACAGGATCTCCCACAGACATAATTATTTTCTTGGTTAGTTGCTGCATTATTATCCTTTTAACTAATTTTTATCTCATTCACAAGGTAAATTTCCCCATCTTGTAGCCAGCATATCCAGGCAAGCTAAGAACACATCCTCTACTGAGTTCACAACCAAGGATGAACTAGATTTAAATTTTGGTGAAGTACCCGTTCAAACAACAGCTACCAAGTGGATTGAACTTCATAACTTCTCTCCAGTAAGAGTTCTTGTTCTTTGACATTACCTGAAATACAAGGGGTTTTTTCAACGGTATTATTACACGACTCGGGCAGTCAGAGGGCCAATAACTAAAATCAACCAATCAAAATGCTCTATTGCCAGTCCAATATTCTCTAAGTATTGGACTGGGCACTGTTCCAAATGGTCCTGAGTGACACCACTCTTGTGTCCCTTTGAACTTCAGTCGTATATAATAAATCTCTTATTAACCAAGCTTGCTCGGGACCATACTGGAAGAATGTCAGCCCTCTGTCTTTTTTGTACGGACCTTGTTGTGCTCGGTCCACATTGTCAAGACCTCGGGCCGATATTCTCCAAGTATGGCCCTCGCGCTTGGTTAATAAGATATATGTTATATTGAAGCTGTTCAATTTAATTTACAGGTTAATGCACCATATCAAGTGTTACAACCCTCTTCTTCCTCCAATATGGACATGGTGTTCTCATGTTCACATTATCATGGTGTTGCTCCAGCAGAAAGTACTATCAAACTTAAGGTATTATTTGTTGCATGTGAA